TACGTTATATATGATGGTGTGAAAACTTTATAGTAAAAAATAAATAATTACACATCTCTCTTGAGTTTTGCTAATTTTACTCGCTCTTGTAGTTCTTTTTCCTCTAATAATAATTTTGTCAATTTATTTATTAATTCTTCACGTTTCTTTCTCATATTAATTGATACATTTTAATTTCATGATTAATTTTAATTCCTTTTTGCACATTACGATTTCTATTCAATTTTTTGGTTTAGAGCATGAACGTAAGTCAAGTTTTTTAAAATACTGATTATACAGATGCGTGCTATACAATATAGATTGCACTTATACACACAAATCAATAGTTTGAAAACTTGACTTGCATTACTACATACGGCTTTCACCCCCTTATATATATATTATTCAATATCATATTTTTACCTGGACATTTAAAGAAAAATATCCTTTTCTGTTTCTGTATGTTTCAGCAAGTCCTCCAAAATTGTTACCTACTAGTCTTATATGGGTGCAATCTATCGCTCCATCAATATAAGGAAGTCCAATAGCTCCTTGTCCATACCCTAACTCTTTAAAGAGTCTTCTATTTTCCTGAATGGCTGCTTGGTTTGTTGTAAATTTTACATAAGTATTTAAATAAGTTGCTAATACAATTGTTACTCTAAACACAATCCTGCTTATTGTCGGTTGTGATAATACCATGAGATCTCCATTTACTGTCTAAATAATAAATTACGAAACAAATATATTAAACATATTTGTACTGTTTTACTTTAATGTTTGAAGATGCATTATAGAAAATTACCTGAAAACTGCCAGTAGCATAAAATCGTAAACAAATAAGCAATTGGATAACTGGATCAATCGGTAGACCTCGATTATCAGGCTTTGTTAAACTTTCGACGACTAAAGGCAATAATCCGTTCATGACACAATTTTTTGAAAATCTATATCTAAGATAAAATTCATGTTCGCGGTAGGCAGTGAATGGATCCATCGTATCTCGAATATATCGTTTTACACGTATTATTCGAATTTCATCATTATGCTCGTCATCCGAAGATGAATCAGACGTGTCAAATAAATTGATGTCAAATTGACCATATATATTATTTAATTCCATGTTTTTATCTAAAATGTATATAGTAATATAGTACAGTAATAATGAAATAATAATATACAATATGTTATTATGTTTATACGGTCGTATATATTATTATAAATTAATATAAGTTAAATAAATAAGAATGTTATTATGTAATTATGTAAAATAAAAACACGTACCCCCCCCCAAATCGACCCCAAGCTATCGATCAAGCCTACTTAAAACTTGATCCGTTCACTCGTTATTGAGATCTCAAAATCTCGAGTACTCGCAACTCGTGCGTTCACGTAAGAGTCCGGTGCGTCTCGCTCCACGCGTACTTAGCGCGAGACACTACCGTGTCTCTTGATATCTGTAAAGAATCTGTAGTACTTACCTCTTATCAAGAATAAATTATACGGTTTTAATTGCTTCTTTTTTATTTTTCGAAATCCTACGCGTGAAATGAAAATTGCGAGATAAAACTGCAGATTTGGTTAACAATCCGCTATGGTTAACAAGCAATAGATGACGGTCGCCGTAAAATCGATAGTCGATTGTTAATAAACAATTATTATATACAAAAAAGGAAGGAATTTAATATAATACACATTATTATATGATTTGATATTCAAAAACTTTATTTTCATTAAATAACAACTTAATATTAGAGATAATACTTGCGGCAATCTCGATCGATTTCTTTACAAACAAAAACTCCTTTTTTTTCAATAAATGTAAAGTATTACTTATTACTATACTAAATATTACTTATTACTATTACTTATTTATTAGTATTACTTATTCAGTCTCGAATTTCTGTTGAAGTCTAAAATCACAGTCTGTCTCTCTGGATTTTTAAAGGAAAATTTGTACTCTATAATTTCAACCGAAATTTAAATAATTTTATATAAATTTCAAACATATATAAATAAAAAAATCAAAATAAAACGCAAGACTTAAGATGCATCATAATAAATTGAATACTTCAGTAATAAATCTCAAATTTTCGTTGAAATCGAAAAAGAATAAAACGTTGACCTCATTCTTGCATCTTTCGCGTAAATTTAATTTATCAAATAACTGAAACTAAACTGTTATTTACATCTAAACTAAACTGTTATCTACATCTTCGAGCTACCGAGCGAGGATAAATGATTGCACGCCGATCGAAGAATCTCCGATCGAGAGTATACTCTCGCCGACATCCTCCGACGCTCTCGATGACGAGGCTCGCGCCTAAACGTAACACACGTAATTGCTCTCGCCCGGACGCTGCCGCCAACAAAGACGCTTATCCGATATTATTATCGGATAATCTGATCGCGGACCCATCCTCTCCTCTCGCGAGCGCGAGCGGTTGACATACTTTCCATTAAAGTGGTACGCGCCCGGCGTGCATGCGATCGCGAAACCCAGGCATTCTACCTTGTTGGTGGTAAAACACGGAGGGATTCAGTGGAGGCGCATCCGCGCGGAGACCGTAGCTAACGAGCGCGCGATCTACGGCGGAATGCAGAGTGCAGAGGAATTGGGAAGAAAGTCGCGCGCGCGGTGCTTCACCGGCCGTAATAGGCCTCTGGAGGAGGTGTGCGCGTAATGCGCCGCGCCACAGCTCGTTCGTACGAGTCGGATGCAACCTCGGCGCTGCAGCCTCGAGATGCCACCTCCTCTCCTGAAGTCTTCAGCAGATACAAAGATGATCGATGGGGGCAACGCCGGGGATCGCCGCGCACCGTTGTTCGCATAAATTATGACGCGGCCAGGATAATGCCGGAGGACGCACCAGTCTTGCGTGCATGAGATTGCGACAGTCTTCGTCGGAACTGCTTCCAGCGCACAAATGATCCCTCTTCGCTTCGGCCCGAGGTTTCAGTTTGTTCCTTCGAGACTTCTTCCATAAACCATCTAACGAACCGTCGCTGCTACGCGAATGCAATGAGTCTCGACACGAATGCGGCGAATCCATCACGTGGCAAACAATTTTTACTTGTCATCATCTGAAAAATAATTAGGGCCCCTAAAATAAAAAAAAATAAAAAAAAAATAAAAAATAAAAATATAAATTATTTATTAAATAGATATATAAAGGCTCTCTATATAAAAAATTCAAATCTAGTTATATAAATTTGGCAATAAGAGTCAATTGGCTCTTATTCCCAAATTTAATTACATTCAAATTTTAAATATGATAAATTATTTAATTATTTAATAAAAAAATAAGTAATTACTTACATCTCTTTTTGAGCTTGAAACTTCGCTAATTTTACTCGCTCTTTTAATTCTTTTTCCTCTAATAATAATTTTCTAACTGTTAATTCATTTATGAACTCTTCACGTTCCTTTCTTAATTGACATATTTCGATTTCATGATTGATCTTAATATTTGCTAACTCTAATTCTTTTTCACATATTACGTTACTTCTATCCACTTTCGACTTTTTTGATGTAGAGTTTAATGAGTCCGTATAATTTGTTCTCTTTGAATCAAGATATATATTTTTTTTTTTATTAGTCATTACGTCTGAAACATAATTTTAAGTTGCATTTAAATATTAAAATTATTTTTTTAAACAGTATTAATTTTAAATAACGTTTGGTATTTTCTTACCAGATTGTTTATTAGGCTCTTCCTGTATATTCTCTTCTTCAGGAAGAATTGAGTATAAATTTTCGATATCACTATCGTCCTCGTCTACCTCGATCAATATATTATCTGGAAAAAAATATACAATTAACATATATATAATACTAATCTTATCAATATATTGTAAAAAATTGTGATTTTAAATTAATTTTAAATTAATAAATTTTTAGCTTACTTAAGTCAGATGCTGATTTATTTTGCTTAACAGCTTTAAAAATTTCTTTTTGTCGATCTAAAATAATAAATTTTATTTATTTATTTGACAAACAATTTTATTAACAAATTTATATGTATTATTTAAAAACATTTTAATAGTACCTGTAGACTCATTCCTTGTAAAATTACTCGAAGACATTGTTGGTGCTGTAGTCAAAAGGCTAGGTATTATGTCTAACACATTTGAATCGACTTCACCAACATTTTTTTGTGGCCCTCCACCAGTAAGAAATCTTGCTTGTCTTTCAGCTGTTAAAATGTTCTTGTTTTGTTGTTTCAAGTTAGACCAGTATTTCTTTAATTGTGAAACATCTCTCTGCAACATAAAACATCCTAATATTAAGAAAAATAAATAAATTCGAGGAACTGCTGTATGAAATATACTTCAAATACTTTACCGTTATTTGGCAATATTTTTAATATTAATCTACGCACAAAACATGTAAATGTTCCATTTCATTATTTTTGAC